CAGGCACTGCTTTGGGCTTCTCATCCCAGCATGGCCACTCTGGGTCATCACTGCACAGCTAACCAGCACACACCCACCCACCCATCCAGATGATGGTGAGCTCAGTGCAGGCCAGGACCGGGCTGTCCTGGTCAGGCTGTGTCTGTTCCCTGCATCACCTGTCACAGGGCAGGGCAGAAAGCAGGTGCTCAGGAGATGGATGAACCAAGAACAGATCCCTCACTCATCTCCCAGCTCTGAGTCCCTCTGACACCAACAGGGGTGGGGGCAGAACCCAGGAGAAGCAGGGGTGGGGCAGACCTGGGATCCTTACCTCCACCTCTCAGCCACTGCCGCACAATCCAGGTGACGGTAAATGACAACCACTCATCTGTGTCACTGGGTGTCAGCTTACGCCTCCTGTGGTAGCGCCAGGAATCGTTGCTGCATTTCTGGAGGACAAAGCACGGGGGAGAGAGAAGCGGGAGATGCTGCCAGCGCCTCCCACACGGCGTGTTCGATTCCTCCTCCTCCTGGACAGATGCAGGCTTGCCCAGTAACACCACACGCAAGCCTGCAGGCTCCAAGTGCCATGCGCCCAGAAAGGAGAGGCCATGCCTCTTTGGGGTGCTCAGAGCCCAGACCCTCCAAGAGGCTGCGGGGAGCTCTTTCTCCTGGAGGCCTGAGGTCTGACCAGAGGCTGGGCCCCTCCCCACCTGCACAGCCCGCAAGGCCAAGCCTGTGGTGCCAGCACCTGGGCTGTGCTGAGCGTTCAGTCGGCAGATGTGACAGCCTGGTTCTGAGCTGAAGGCTTAGTCAGGTGTCATTCTGTGCTCCAGTGTTTGATAAAGCCCAGGAAGGCCAGCTATGGGCCTGAGCAGTCCCAGGAGACTCATGTCTACAAATCCAGGAGTCTGGGGCCGGTAGGGACACAGTGTGCTGTGCCACAGCCTGCGGGGCTGGCATCCCATAGGAGCATCGTTGGAGTCCAGGCTGCTCCACTTCCAGTCCTACTTCCTGCCAGCGCACCACGGAGGGCAGCACAGGCTGAACTGTGTTGGGCCCCTCATTCACACGGAAGACCCGGGTGGAGTTCCAGGCTCCAGGTTTCAGCCTGACCCAGCCCTGACCATTGGGTCCAGACCTGGGAGGTGGAGGGTGATGGCTCAAGTAGTTGGGTCCCTGTCACCCACATGGGAGACCTGGGCGGGTTCTCAGCTCCCTCCCAGCTGTGTGTGTGTATACACACGCACACACACACACCTGTGTCCCTGTCTCTCAAGGAAATCAGTAAGAAATGAAAAGGACTCTCGGGGGCTGGAGTTGCGGTGGGCAGGTTAAGCCACGGCCTGTGATGCCAGCGTCCCACTGAGCAGTGGATGAAGCCCTGGTTGCTCCACTTCCCATTCAGCTCCTGCTGATGTACATGAGAAAGAAGCAGAAGGTGGCCCCCTGCCTCCCACGGAGGAACCCAGGATGGAGTTCCATACTCCTGGCTTGGGCAGGTCCAGCCTGGGTGGTGGTTGCCATATGGGGAGTGAACAGCAGATGAAATCTCTCTCTGTTGCTGTCTCTGTCTGTATCCTCCTCTTTCTGCAACTCTGCCTTTCAAATAAATAATCTTCTTAAAAAACTTTAAAAAAAAATGAATTACAAAATCGCAGCCAATTCATGTGACTGTGGTGCACTCCAAATAGTTAATGTTAATCAGTTTCCATTTTAATCAAGTTAAATTTGACTGGGGCCACGACAATTTAACAGTTCTGAAGCCTCAGCCTATCCAGAGATTTCGACTTTCTACAGTCCTGACTTCTTCAAGGGCCTAATTCTAAGACCCCTGTCTTCCAAGCATTTAAAAGCCCAAGTTCCCCAGAGCCCCAGGAGTCCCTGGTCTGTGCTCCTCCCCCTCCCAGGGCCATCTATGAGGACCCTGCGGCCAGCAGCCTTCCACCTCCACTGGCCACAGCTCAGGCTCCCTCCTCACCTGGTACAGCTCCACCTGCTGCTCCTGCTGTAACTTGAGCACTTGCAGGCGCAGCTCTGCATGGGACAGCAACACCGGCTTGGGCACTGCTTGCCGGAGCTCTGACGTGTTGAAGAACATATAGACGCTGTGCCGACTTTCTTTGTATTTTTGGTAGATTTCTAGTTGGGAGGAGCAGACAGAGGAGTCAGGGCTTTGGCAGGGGTACAAGGAGCAGGGGCACCCCCAGGACAAAAGCCTAAAGCTGCAGCCCGGGTTGGAGTTGGTTTATGACACTTTTCAGCTGTGTGACCTTGGGGCCCAGGGTCCCTTTGGGTGGGCTTCCTGCCCTGCACCATGGGTCCTGACCAGTCTGTCTACCTGAGGCCTCCATCTGCCCCCCCAGGGAGTGGCCGTGTGGCTCCCTTGTCCCAGGCCCCCAGCTCAGATGCGGATTGCACTGCAAGAGGAAGGGTCATGGGGAGAGCCTGGGGTCAGGAAGAGCCCCTGCTGCCTCTGTGCTGTGTGACCTGGGGCACTCACTCCCCTCCCTGAGGAGGCTGGCTGCCCCCTCCCACCCCCTGTCTCATCCCATGCCCGCACCCATCACACAGACCTCCGCCTCTCACCACGACCCCTGCAGTCCCGCCTGTCCCGTGAACCCTGGAAGCAGGTCCATGCTTCTGGCACTATGCTGCGGTTTGCTTCACCTCGCTTTTGCCTCTTCTTTCTGTTTCGTGACCCCCCAACTCTGGCCAGCTTTCTCACCCACTCCCTTTCCCATAAACTAGGGGCTCAGCCTCTCCCTGCAGAGCACCCCTCTCTGCAGCTCCCACCACGTGACCCCTGCATTCCACATGCCCTGCGGAGGGAACGGCCTTCTACCCCATTGCCTGTGTCCCCCGGGACCTCCCTCGACCCCGCGGGTCCCGTCCATTGGCGCACTGTTCCAGGACCAGTCCCTGAGGGTCTGGGAGCTCAGCGCCCTCCCCCACGTTCCCTGTGCACCCAGGGGTCCTCTTCCTCCTACTGTGTCCTCTGCAGGTAATTTCCTCCCTGACCCTGGCACTCCGGCGCCCCCTGGCGGCCCCTTTCCGGGTCCCAGTCCCTCGGAGCTCACCGTGGTTGCTGTCCAGCATTGGCACACTGGTGATCTCCTTGCCAAAGAAGCCTGAGTCGGGTTGGGGCTTCTGTTTAGCTCTCTCCCCGGACACCTGATCGCGGGTTCTGTTGTACAGGGCGAGTATGTCCTCGGGCACCGGACCCGTCGGCACCTCATCATCACTTGGGGGGCTGGAGAGCCCCAGCTTGGCCAGGATCAGGGCGCCGACGGCCTGGATGTGCTGTTGTCTGAGCAGCTCCATGTGGGTGTTGTTGCGGCTGAGCGTTCCCACGGCTGGGCGGGCGGGTGACAGCACCAGGAGCCACAGCAGAGGCAGCAGCAGTCGCATCCCGGAGGGCAGCATGGTGGAGGCAGACACTAAGCAGCACTGCGGAGAACACCAACAGGGCTAGGGTGGCACGGGGAGGCCTCGACCAGGCAGGGGCTGAGGGCCTCAGGGGGCAGCTGAGGCCTTCAGGAAGGCAGAAGCAGGGGTGGAGGGGAGGCTGGTGGCCGGGGTCGTCTCAGTAGCCCCTGGAGCAAATGCAGAGGGGCGAGCTCTGCTGCTAGGGGAGCCGGGGCAGGGCTGAGCCGCAGTCCTGGAGGAGGGAAGGTCCGAGGGTGCGCGAGGTTCTGGAGGAGCCTGCAGTGCGGGCGAGGTCAGGGCAAGGCCTTCAGGGCAGTCAGGGTCTGTGGCTCCGAGGGCTGGGCAGGAAGGGTTTGCTCTAAGGAGACAGGCAGGGAGCAGAAGCGGGAGAGGCTGTGAGGAGGGTGGCGGCCTGTGTTTCCCGAGTCTTACCTCTGCCTGGGCCAGCGCTGTGCGAAGTGGTTCCCACACCTGTAGCTCCTAGCCACAGTGGAAAAGGTTCCGAAATTCTTTCCTTTTATCCCAACCAGCTGCCCCTCCTCCAGCTCCTCCTCTCTCTCCTCCCCCAGTGGTGGCATCATGGACGGGGCCTCTTCTCAGGCTCCTGGGCCTGGGGTTGTTGCTTCAAGTCTCCTTCCTCTGCCCTGGGCGCAGGCCCTGCCTGAGGCCCGCTCCCATCCGGGGGTGTCCAAGAGGGGATGTGCCCCCTGCACAGACCCGACCCTGCTGTCCAGGGATCCACTAGAGACTCCCGCACCCCACATCACAGTGCCAGTAGGAGCCCCATCTGCTCTGCTTCCCATCCAGCATCCTGCTGGTGCGCGGGAGATGGCAGAAGATCATGGCTCCAGCTAGGGTTCCTGCCACTCTCATGGGAGACCAGGAGGGAGGTTCCCTCTCCTGGCTTCAGCCTGGCCCAGGCCCTTCTGCTGGGGCCATGTAGGGAGTGAACGAGAGATGGAAGAACTCCCTGTCTCTGGCATTGTGCACTTTAAATAAATAAATAAATCTATAGAAAAAGTTAAACAAAATGCACCCACAGAGTCTTGGGGACCCCTCTTTTCAGGAGCTGGATCCTAAGGCCTCCCCTTGAGAGAGGCTGGTCTTGCACTTGCAGGGCTGCAGGGCTGAGATGTGACTCCCAAGGCTGGCTGCTCGGAGGTGTTGAGGCCCCCTCCCTGCTCCCTCTGGGGGTGCCTCACTCTGAGGGGGTCAGTGTGAGGACAGAGAAGCAGCCAACAGAGACACAAGCAGGGCAGAGCTGAGGTCTGTGGCCGACAGCAGCGCCATGTGAGCACCCATGCAGGGGCAGGCAGAGATCTCATTCACTGGGTCACTCCCCAGTGCCTGGGTCCTAGGAACTCGGTCCATGTCTCCCACCTGAGTGGCAGTTTTCCCACTGAGTGATGCTAACATCCCACCCAGCGTCTATAATTTCTATTTATTGTTTTCTTCACAGAAACTGAGGTGGAGGGGTGGAGAGAGAGAGAGAGAGAGAGAGAGAGAAAAAGACATGCATTACTCTCAGGTTTTCCATGAAATTTATGGCAATCGTAGGTGTACCTGGGTTTCCACAACTTTTGCATCAGAATTAACATTATCTTATTTTTATTTTTATGATGTATGTATTTATTTGAAAGAGAAATGAGGGAAAGACAGAGATGCACAGAGAATCTTCCATCTGGTGGTTCACTTCCCAAATGCCACAGCAGCTGCACTGGGCCAGGCAAAGCCAGACCAGGAGCTCCCTCTTGGTCTAGTGCATGGTGACAGGGTCCAAGCTCTTGAGCTGCATCCACTGCCTCCCAGGTCACTAGCAAGTAGCTGGGTAGGAAAGTGAGGCTCTGAGGTTAGAAAAACAAACACTCTGCATATGGGATGCAAGAATCTGAAATGGTGGGTGTGAGGGAGCAGGTGGGGGTCCTGGACGACTGGGCTGCTTCTCCCAGATCCCAGGACTTGCCCTTCAGGTAGTGGGTTCTCCTACCCCGCTCCCAGTCTCCTAGGCCTGCTCCATGTAATCCTGCTGACCAATAATAAGTCATTACCGTAACAGCCACACAGCTCTGTGCCGGCGGCTCTGCATGGACTCCTGCATTGCCTACTCATGCCTTAGAGCAACCTAAGGCGCACCATCACTGTCAGTCCCATGATGGGAACAGCACCAGGAGGTGAGATAATTTTGCTAAAAGCACACCTCCAGCTCACTAAGCGCCCCAGGCCCTGTCGAGAGCACATTCCAGCCTTCCTAGTGTTCCTGCCTGTCCACGGCTCTCCTTGACCCCCATTTTGCACATGAAGAAACTGAGGGGCTTCCTTGGGGACAGGGAACAACAGGTCCTAGGCCAGCAGAGCTAACCCAGGCCTGTGTTCCTTGCTGACACACGGAGGGCAGGAAGCAGAGGCAGGAGGTGGGCTGGGGGCATCCAGGCAAGGAGGCTGAGAGAGGGTATGTGTGTGTGGGGGGGGTGATGTGCTGATTCTCAGGCCACAGCTGCACAGCTCAGCTGTTGCCAGATTCCTGCCTTACAGAGACTATGTCAGAATAAATGTTTGCTGTTGCGTTTAAGATATTTATGTAAAAGTTTGAGCACACAAGATAGATGGAGGACAGAGAGAGAAATCTCATTCTATGGTTTACTCTCCAGATCCCGGGGAACTGGGAGGGCAATGCATGTCTCCACCTAAGTGACAGATTCCCAACCATGGGATGCACACATTAACCAGTGTCGATTTATAAAAATCATATTGTTTCACAGGTAGAAAGAGACATGCAAAATTTTCTTACACCGTCCATGAAATTTTTTGTAAAGATCTATTTGAACATCTGAGGTACAGAGAGTGGGGGGAGAGACACAGAAAATCTTTCACATGCTGGTTCCCTCCCCAGATGGCTTCAACAGTGAGATCTGGGCCAGACCCAAGGTAGGAGCCAGGAGCTTCTTCCAGGTCTCCCATATGGGGGCAGGGGCCCAAGCCCATGGACCATCTTCCTCTGCCTTTCCCAGACACATTAGCAGGGAGCTGGTTTGGAAGTGGAGCAGCCAGGACTCGAACCGGCACCCATGTGGGAGGCTGGCACTGCAGCCGGCGGCTTTACCCGCTATGGCACAGCGCAGGCCCGCTCATGGTGTTCTTTATTCTCCCTGCAGCCCAGGCATGTGTGACTCTGTGGCTGACACCTATTTGGCCCATTGGCCCTCCCTGAGTTTATGGAAATTGTTTGTATGCATGGGTTTCAGAAATTTTTGCACCCGTGACCAAAGGTGTGGAGGAGTAAGCTAAGCCTCTGCCTGGGCACTGGCATCCCCATATGGGCACCAGTTCTGTTTCTGGCTGCTCCTCTTCCAATCCTGCTCTCTGCTATGGCTTGAGAAAGCAGTGGAAGATGTGGGAGATGGCACAAATGCTTGGGCCCCTGCACCCACTTGGGAGACCCGGAAGAAGCTCCCTGCTCCTAGCTTCAGCTCAGCTCGGCTCTTGCTGTTGCAACTATTAGGGGAGTGAACCAGCAGATGGAAGACTTCTCTCTCTGTCTCCCTCTCTCTATCTGTAGCATGGTATATCTCACACGTAAGATCACTTACTGGGTTACCTGGCTTTATTAACCAAGGCAACAAAAAAGGTTGATCGTCTTATCTCCTGCAACACGGCTTCCATTGCACACCTAGAAGAAGCCTGTATTCTACACCAAAAATTTCATATGTCAGCAAGCAATATAAAATTGCTTTTCCCGGAGCTAACAATGAGCCAATGCAAACACCTAGTGCACTCTTGCAAGAATTGTGCACCCCTCGCCCCGTTAGGCCCACTGCACCAAGCAGGAGTGAACCTGTGAGGCCTTGCTCCTAATAAGCTCTGGCAAGTGGACGTCACCCACATGAACTCCTTTGGTAAACTTAAGTGTGTCCATGTGGTGGTAGATACCTAGTCAAAGGCTGTATTTGCAACAGCCAAATCCTGAGAAAAGGCTAGTAATGCGATAAAGGCGGTTAAGTCAGCCATGCTGGTCCTTGGTGTCCCCTGGACAATAAAGACTGATAACGGGCCAGCGTATACACCACAGGAATTTAATTCCTTCCTGAAATCTTGGAACATACAGTCTGCCACAGGTATCCCATACAAGCCACAGGGACAGGCCATCAGTGAAAGAACTCATAGTACAATTAAAGATCTCTTACAAAGACAGAAAAACCATCATATGCCCCCAGACCCACAGCTTGCTTTGACTGAGGTCCTTTTCACTATCGATTTTCTTAGTTTTGATTCCCAAGGGATCAGCCCAGCTTATAAACACTGGGGATCCTTTTCATCCCAGACCCCAGCCCCTATGGTTAGGTGGAAAGACCCCTGACAGGAGAATGGAAGGGACCACACCCTCTGCTAACCAAGGGTCGAGGATATGCTTGTGTCTTTCCAGAGAATGCAGGGCAGCCCATTTGGGTACCAGCCAGAAACATCAAGCCTGCAACTGACAGCCAACCAGAACTGGCTGAACAAGACTGAGAGTCCGCATTGTTAGCGGATGCACCTGCCTTATCATCCTACCCTGAGAAACTGCCCATAGCCACATCTTCTACTGTTTTATACCGCACTAGCTCTGGCAAGCTACTCAAATGGCCCACAGCCTGCATGCAGTCACGCCATTCCTGATTACCATTGTTCCTCATTCCTACCCCCACCTGAGCAAGCACTCCTGTGGTCTCTCGATTTGAGCACTGGTTAGTCAACGACAGGTAAGATCCCCTGGGGGACAACCTAAGACAGACACAGCCGCTTACAGAGACCACATGGAAATGGGGTCAACAATGGTATGGCCAAGAATCATGCCTCCCGTTGCTCAAAAATAAACGAAAAGAGGGAAATGTGGTGGAATGAGAAGGCCATGCCAAGATGGCTGCTGGCAACAGAAACTGCCTGGCAACAGGCTGTGATTGGATGGTTTCAGAAACCACATGACAGCAGAGTCTGCCTGGCAACAGGCTGTGATTGGATGGCTTCAGAAACTGCCTGGCAACAGGGTGTGATTGGTTAGGGCATAGACCGCCCCTTGACCGGATTGGCTGCCTTGGCTATAGAAGCTGCTGTAGCAACTGAAATAAACGAGTCTGCAGGCTGCTTGCCTCAGGCCTGCTTTTACCCGACTCCCCGGGTCTGTGTGGTGACTCTGTGCCTCTTTCCCCCAACACGATTCCCCTCACAGAAACGAATCCACAGCAACATCACCTCTCAAATAAATAAATAAAATATTTTTTAAAAGTTTTGCATCGATTCATTCTTATTTTATTTTTAATGATTTATTCCATTATTTAAAAGAGTGACAGAAGGAAACAGAGACACAGAGAAAGGAAGAGATCTTCCTTCAGCTGATTCACTCCCCAAAAGCCCACAACAGCCGAGCTGGACAAGAAACCCAAGCCAGAAGCCAGGAACTCCATCCTGGTCTATGACGAGAAGGCATGTGGCTCAGTGCATGAGCCGTCACCTGCTGCCTCCCAGGTGCGTGAGCAGGAAGCTGATGGGAATCCGAGTCAAAGCAGGCACTTAATATGGGATGCAGAAGTCTGCTTTTTTTTTTTCTTTTTGACAGGCAGAGTGGATAGTGAGAGAGAGAGAGAGAGAAAGGTCTTCCTTTTCCGTTGGTTCACCCCTCAAAGGCCCCCCTGGCCGGCGTGCTGCAGCCGGCACACTGAGCTAATCAGAAGCCAAGAGCCAGGAGCCAGGTGCCTCTCCCTGTCTCCCACACAGGTGCAAGGCACAAGGACTTGGGTCATCCTCCACTGCACTCCTGGCCCACAGCATAGAGCTGGGCAGGAAGAGGACCGACCAGGACAGAATCCAGCCCCCTGACCAGGACTAGTACTGGGTGTGCCAGCACCGCAGGCAGAGGATTAGCTTAGAGCCACGGCAATGGCCATGGGATGCAGAAGTCTTGAACAGTGGCATAAACCACCTGTACCACAATCCCCTCCCCTAACTTATCCATAAAAATTATTATTTATAATTTGAGAGACAGAGAAAGGACTCTGATCCTCTGGTTCCCTCCCCAGTCAGTGCCTGCACAAACCAGTACTGGGTGGGAGTGGAAACCAGGAGCCAGGAAGTCAATCCAGGTCTCCCACGAGGGAGGCAAGACCCCCATTACTTGCGCCATCCCCTCAGTCTCCCAGCTCTGCACTGGGAGGACCGGAGTCAGGGCCTGCACCCAGGAATGAAACCCAGGTGCTGAGATGAGGGACACGGCTGTCTCAACCCAGGCCTAACGACTGCTTCCTAAATCCCACGGTCACCCTGGTTTGCAGTGCATTCTGTTAGAGCCCCAGAGGCATGGCAGGTGCAAAGGAGGTCAAAGCCTGGCCCTCGTGAGGCTGACAGAGTTTCATTAAGAAACCAAAGCGAGGCCGGCGCTGCGGCTCACTAGGCTAATCCTGTACCTTGTAGCGCCCACACACCGGGTTCTAGTCCCGTTCGGGGCGCCGGATTCTGTCCCCGTTGCCCCTCTTCCAGGTCAGCTCTCTGCTGTGGCCAGGGAGGGCAGTGGAGGATGGCCCAAGTGCTTGGGCCCTGCACCCCATGGGAGACCAGGATAAGTACCTGGCTCCTGCCATCGGATCAGCGCCGTGTGCCGGCCGCAGTGGGAATTGGAGTGTGAACCAACGGCAAAGGAAGACCTTTCTCTCTCTCTCTCTCTCACTATCCACTCTGCCTGTCAAAAATTAAATTAAATTAAAAAAAGACTCCACAGCGAGGTTAAGGAGATGGTAACAGGACATCCTCTGGGTGACACATCCTGCCCCTGTCCCTCCCCTCTCCCCTCCATGGGTCTCCCTGTCTCCTCATCAGTCAGAAACTCAGGCTGCACCCAGCGCACTCCCAGACGCCTTCCCTTCTCCTCTCCCCAGGAGTGGGCCCGTGCCAGCTCCAGCTCTGCACTCTTGGCATGCGGCCCCGGAGCCTGGAGGGAGGGAACGCCAGCCGGGCCCCACATAGGCTGGGAGTCCTCTGGTCTGGCAGGGTGGGGGGCTTCTGGGAAGCAGGGCCAGTGCAAGCTGGGTGGGCTCCCGGAGGGAGGCAGAGGCGTGCAGGGTAGAGAGTCCTCTCATCAGACTGCTGGGGAAGGGTCTGGATGATAACGTCGACGACCACTCAGACGCTTACTCTGCAGGCTGGGGGAGACACTGGGATGGTCACTGGGCCGGATCCAGGCTTCATGTGTGCTGTCACACCTGGGAGGCGGGCAGCATTGCTCCCTTTTACAATTGAGGAGATTGGGGTTCAGGGAGCTGAAGCCATTGTCCAGGGCCCACACAGCAAGGGCCTTGAGAGGAACCCAGGGCTGTGTGGACCAGACTGACCCAGGACACCTGAGAATCAGCACATAACCCCCCCCCCCACACACACACACACCTTCTCTCAGCCTCCTTGCCTGGATGCCCCCAGCCCACCTCCTGCCTCTGCTTCCTGCCCTCCATGCGTCTCAAAGAACACAGGCCTGGGTTAGCTCTGCTGGCCTAGAACTTGTTGTTCCCTGTCCCCAAGGAAGCCCCTCAGTTTCTTCATGTGCAAAATGGGGGTCAAGGAGAGCCGTGGACAGGCAGGAACACTAGGAAGGCTGGAACATGCTCTCGACAGGGCCTGGGGCGCTTAGTGAGCTGGAGGTGTGCTTTTAGCAAAATTATCTCACCTCCTGGTGCTGTTCCCATCATGGGACTGTGAGTGATGGTGCGCCTTAGGTTGCTCTAAGGCATGACTAGGCAATGCAGGAGTCCATGCAGAGACGCCGACACAGAGCTGTGTGGCTGTTACGGTAATGACTTATTATTGGTCAGCAAGATTACATACAGCAGGCCTAGGAGACTGGGTGGGAGGGGCGTAGGATCTGGAGCTCTGGGCCTGGGATTTGGGAGAAGCAGCCAAGGCCTCCAGGACCCCCTGTGCTCCTGCACACCCGGGATGGAGCAGGGGTCCACCACCATTGGAGACACGTGCATCCCATATTAAGAGTGCCTGTTAACCATCTCAGCAGATCACCTTCCTATCCAGCTTCTTGCCACTGCACCTGAGAGGCAGCAGATGACAGCTCCCCTGCCACCATGCACTGCACCAGGAGAGGGAGCTCCTGGCTTCCTGCTCTGGCCTGGCCCAGCGCAGCTGTTGTGGGCATTTGGGAAGGGAGCCACCAGATGGAAGATGTCTCTCTGTGTATCTCTATCTCCCTCTGTTTCTCTTTCAAGTAAAATAAATCATTAAAAACAGTAATAAAATAAGATGATGTTATTTTGATGCAAAAATTTTTGAAACTCATGCACACAAATGAGTGCCATAAAATTCTTGGAAAACGTGAGAAATTAATGCGTGTCTTTTAAACAAAAAAAAAAGGTTTATTTATTTGAAAGTCAAATTACACAGAGAAAGGAGTTGCAGAGAGAGAGGTCTTGCATGTGCTGGTTCACTCCCCAATTGGCTGCAACGACTGGGGCTGACCCGATCCTAAGCCAGGAGCCAGAAGCCTCTTCCGGGTTTCCCACGTGGGTGCAGGGGCCTAAGGACTTGGGCCATCTTCCACTGCTTTCCCAGGCCACAGCAGAGAGCTGGATCGGAAGTGGAGCAGCTGGCCTTGAACTGGCGCCCATATGGGATGCCGGCGCTGCAGGCCCTGGCTTTAACCCACTGCACCAAAGTGCCAGCAGGTAGTTTGATTTTTTTTTTTATTAAGTATTAATTTAAAAGGCAGAGTGCCAGGTGAGAGAGAAGAGAATGAAAAAGGAAATCTGCCATTTGCTGGTTACCTCCTCAGAGGGGGCAACATCAGGGCCTGGACCAATTCAAAGCCAGGAGCGCGTGCTGCATTCCGCCCTCCAAGCTCCTGAGTCCACTGCCTGCTGTCTGCTCAGACGCACCCCAGGAATCTGGGACTCAGCGGGCGCTCTGAGGTGCAGGCGCCACCAAGCCGGCCCCTGCGGGCCTATTGAAGACATCCATAGACGGTGACTCCTTCAGTCTGGAACAATCCCACAAGCTGGGTGCTGTCATTCACCCTGATGGGGGACAAACGGGAATAGATGCAAATGACGCTGGCCTCAAGTCTTCATGAAGCAGAAGCCCTGTGTACCCCACCCCGTGTGTCCGCGAGGACCAGGACCTGACGCCCTGCAGTCCTCGTTACCAGGGCTGCACGGAGCAGGCACGCACGACCGTGGCGTTCCCAGCTGTCTGTCAGGAACCTTCTTTCTCGGATGGCGCTACCTGTGTGCATGCTGTCCTGTGCACCTTGCTGCCTCCCCGGTCCTCCACGTGTGCAGCCCCCGCGGTAGGAGGCGCGGCTGGGCGGGACTCCCGGTCCTGAGGACCAGGCTGCCCTGGACGCGGAGGCGGGGAGAGGCGCTCAGGACCTCAGGCGCCCGCGTGCACCCGCCCCACGGCCCGGACCGCTGGGCCCGGGGACGCCGCTCGCTCACAGCACTGGCGGCGAACGTGCAGTCGCTGGGAGGGCCCGGACCGCTGGGCCTTGAGCAGCCTGGGGAACTCCGCAAGGGAAGGGAAGCCCCGCCCCAGCCTCTGAGTGTCTGAGAAGAGGTTGTTTCCGAAGTCGAGGCCGGGGGATGCACAGAATGACCCGAGGGAATTCCCCCGAGCTCAGGCTCAAGTCTCTCATGTGGGGTTCAGGACGGGAGACAGGTGTTCTTTAGGGGGAGGAGGCGGGCCGCGAAGCTTATTTTGACACATTTCCTGGAGAGGCTCTGCAGCACAAACAGTCGGCGCTCAAACTTCCCGGCCACACTCAAGATGGCAACTGCCCGACCACGCCCCCAACGGCGGATCCCGGGGCCGGGGCTTGGGAGAGGCTACGGAGAGATGTCCATCACGGCATTGCCCCGCCCCCGAGGACAGCGAGCACCAATCGGCCGCGTGCAGGGCGGGGGCAAGGCCAGGGGAGGAGCCTGCTGTTGTCCCAGCAACGGCCAGGGAGCCTGAGGCGAGGGCGGTCGCGGAGGTTCGCGCCTTAGCGCCCTTGCTGTCAGGGAGGTCCCACGGGAGGCGCGAGGCCGGCGTCGCTGGCGCCCGCGAAGAGGACGGAGTCGGCCCAGAACCAGCATCCGGCTGCCGCATTCGCTCCCACTAGCCGTTAAGCTCTGTGAGGTAGGAGTGACGCATGCGCAACGAGTAGGGGCGGGGCCGAGGTGTTCGGAGGCGGGCCTCGATTCAATACGCATGCGTCGTCGAGCCTGTGGCGGGGCTATCAGCCGCGGGGAGGCGGAGCTTTGATGGCTGTGGGTGGAGCTCTCGGCCCCTTAGCGGGACTTAGCCAGGTCAGGAAGAGGTTTAAGGAGGGCATAGTTAGGCACCGGTTCCCAAGTCTAGGGCTACTCCCCCCATCTCCCGGGGAGACAGAGTCGGTGGATAACTCTGCATCCTCAGAGGGTTGACAAAACCAGGTTGGTGGCCTTCTGCCCCTTGCTTGGGCCTCAGTTTCCCTACTCAGAGCTGATTGTTTCTTTTCCCTCCCAGCGCCATGGCTGAGGTGCACGTGATCGGGCAGATCATGGGGGCCACCGGGTTCTCGGAAAGTAGCCTCTTCTGCAAGTGGGGCATCCACACAGGTATTCCCCCCAGGCCTGGTCACTGCCCACCAAGACCCCGCGCTCTCCCTGGACCCTCCGCCCCACCCCGGGTCCTCCTCTCCCCATGGGCTTTCAGCACTCCCGGCCCTGGCCAAGGCTGGCCGCGTGAGGCCCGCACTTCCTTCCTGCCCCGTCTCCGGGGACCCTGGCTCCCACCCTCGGCATGCATGGCCATTGACGATGATGGGCTAGGGGGAGACCCCATCCACACGCTTCATGTCAGAGCGCTCCTGTTAACTCCACTTGCTGCCTTGGGGGTGTGTCCTGGGATCCTCCCCAGCTTTCTCGTTCTTTGACTAGCAGCCTCCATTTATTGAGTTCTTACTGTAAAGTAGAAGTTTGCACCCCAGACTTACAGAGGAGAGGCCACATCCTGTCGTCAGAATGCCTTTCGCTCTGAGAAGGCAGCAATCATCCAAGTCCACACGGCCCAGCAGGGACTTGGAGACCCAGTGTTTCTGTAGGTCTGCATGGAGGCCAGACCTTGTAGAGGTGCAGTGTGATGGCCAGGGTTATAGGCAGCCACATCTGGGTTCAGATGCTAAGTCCCCATGTATGTATCTGTGGCCTCTGGACTTGACCTCTCCAGCCCTCGGTCTCCTTGTCTGAGAGGAACGGCACGGTGTGGATAGCAGCTGAGAGGCGGTGTGGCGTCGAGGTTAGGAGCACAGACTGCCTGGGTCCTAACCAGGTGTTTATGTTTTTTAAGGTTTATTTATCTATTTGAAAGGCAGAGTTACAGAGGCTGAGGCAGAGAGAGAGAGAGAGAGAGAGAGAGAGTCTTCCATTCGCTGGTTCATCCCTCAAATGGCTGCAACGGCCAGAGCTGAGTGAATTCGGAACCAGGAGTTGTTGGGTCTCCCACGTGGGTGCAGGGACCCAAGCACTTGGGCCATCTTCTCCTGCTTTCCCAGGCCACAGCAGAGAGCTGGATCGGAAGTGGAGCAGCCGGGGCTCAAATGGGGCCCATGTGGGAAGCTGGCACCGTAGACAGCCTCTTATTAATAGGTGACGTTAGGGCCTTGTTTGTGCGTCTGCTTCCTTGTGTGCACATGGGAGCAGTAACAACGTGTGCCTCGCGGATCTTTGCCAGGCCTAGGGGAGCATGCGCAGCATGCAGAGCAGGGCTGGCTGGTGCTGTGTGCCTGGCTCGCGGGTGACTCCGACAGGGTCCCATTAGTGAAGCCCAGGCATGTGGCTGCCCAGCCCCAGTAACAACCTATGAGGCAGACGTGGCTGCGTCTCGGGCCTGGGTCCCTTGGACCTGACTTGGATGGGTGAAGTCGCGGGATCAGAGTCGGGCTCAGGAGTCAGACTCTGTGTCTACCCGGGACCCCAGCACTCACCTGCTCTGTGATCCCGGGCTGCTGTCCTTTTCTTGGGGCTGTTTAAGTAATCTTGTGTCTACGCAGCCTGACTCAGGGCTTCCCTCACCAAGGCCAGAGGGAGTCATGCTTGGCTTTTATTATCGCAGGTGGCTTTGGGGCATTGAATCCAGCAGGGAGCTCAGAGACAGTGGCCGAGGGGCCTGGTCGCTGCAGTTGGACATTTTACAGACTTCTGCGCTTGGGGATCTTTGGGTGCTGTGGTCACTGCTGTATCCCCAGAGTGGAGAACAGGCTTGGCATACCCTAGGTGCTCAATAAATGTTCATGGAATAATTAACCAAGTGACTTCCTTCTCAGAGCCTGTTTCTGTACTTGGAAAATGGTAATCATAGCACACATAGCTTCTAGGGTCACTTAATTGTCCCAAAAAAAATGTATCGACCACCTTCTGTATACCACGCACTGGGGATCCCGCCATGTGCATGGGCCAAGCTCTCCTGAAGCTCATTCTACGAGCGTCAGACACTATATAAGCCGCTGAAGAAACTTAACTCAGTGATTTCCAGTGGCGACAGTGCTGGGGAGAGAGGCAATGGCTATAGAGGGCGGGCGTTTAGCTCGGGGTTAGGACCTGCACATCCCGCCGCACACCTGGCTGCTGGCTTAGCTCCCTGCTAATGCCAGCCCTGGCAGGCAGCAGGGATGGATGGCCTAAGTGACTGGGTTCCTCCCGCTTACGTAGGAGACATGGGTTGTGTTCCCAGCTCCCGGCTTCAGGGTGGCCCGGTCCCGGCTGTTCCAGGCGTTTCAGGGAGTAAACCTGTGGGTGGGAGCTCTCTGTTTATCGCTCTACCTCTCAAATACTAGATACAAATATTTTTAAAAGGAAAAGAAATGGGTTCTGAGATAGTTTTGGATAGGATGGTCAGAGAGAGCCGCAATGAAAAGGAGGCGCCTCAGCTGAGCCCAGAAGATGAGCAAAAAGCCGGGAATGGGGCCTTCTGGGAGCAGAACTTTCCAAACAGGGAAGTCAGTGCAAAGGCCCTGAGGTAGGGGGACAGACATACAGAAATGGGACCAGTGAGGCCCACGGGTGGTGTGGGAGGGGACTGTGCGGGCAGTGAGTTCAGAAAGGGGGGCAGGTGCCAGGCCATGCGGTGCCCTGCGGGCCACGCAGGAGAGTCTGCCGTGGGGGAGGTAGGAGTCCTGCCGGGCAGCAGAAGGCACTGCCCAAGCACTTAGCCCAGTGTATCCCTTGGTGCATTTTCCCACGGTTATCTGGCCCCACAAGAGGGACTGGGTGCCCATGAGTCCATCTCAGTCCTCGGGGACCCCCGGGGGGGAGAGATGGTAGTAAAGCACCCACACTCACAGACTTCTGAGGAATGTGTCTTGTTTGCCCCTTTCACAGATGGGGAGATTGAGGCAGAGAATGGTAACTTGCCCTGGGTTGTACAAGTAGGAAGAGGTAGTGGCAGGATTTGAAGGTCAACATTTGCTCCAGAGTCCACACTTTGTAACCCCTACCCACAAACGCCAGGGAGAAGCCACAGTGGCATCTCCTGCCCACTTGTCTCTGTCCTGGCTCTCACCACAGGGGCAGCATGGAAGCTCCTGTCAGGTGTGCGGGAGGGCCAAACGCAGGTGGACACCCCCCAGGTAGGGGACATGGCCTACTGGTCCCACCCCATCGACCTGCACTTCGCCACCAAAGGTCTCCAAGGTAGGTTCCAGGCCTTAGCCCGGGGTGTGCTGAGGGGAGGCGGCCAGTAGCCCCAAAGCTGCTGGGACTGGAACAAGCCTTGTGGGTCCCTTTCCTAGCCACGCCTGGCCCTGCAGAGGCTGAGCTGACCCTCCCCAGGCCGGCTCTGTTGGGGACCCCAGGCTGGGGGCCTGAGGTGGAGGCCAGGGAAGGTGGGTTCCCAGGAACAGGGAAGCAGCCTTCCTTAAAGAGAGAAACCAGGTCTTCAATAAGGGGGAAGCTGGGAGGGCCTCTGTGAATTAGAGACAGGGAGGCCAGGGCTGGCCGCTGTGCTTCAGCAAGGCTCCTCCCTTGAACGAGTGCTGCTCACGGGGAAACCAGCAGAGTGGAGGAGAGGAGTGGCATCAGAAAACCTGGTGGAAAGTGCGGGCCACAGGGTGGGCACCTAGCTCTGAGGTTTGGGTGCTGCTTGGGATACCTGCACCCCACATCCAGTCGTGGGTTTGAGTGCCAGTGCTACTTCTTTTTTTCTTTTCTTTCTTTCTTTTTTTTTTTTTTTTTAAGATTTATTTATTTAAAAGGCAGAGTTACAGAGAGGCAGAGGAAGAGAGAGAGAGAGAGAGGTCTTCCATCCACTGGTTCACTCCCCAGATGGCCACAACAGCCAGAGCTGCACCGATCCAAAGCCAGGAGCCAGGAGCTTCTTCCAGGTCTCCCACTTGGGTGCAAGGGCCCAAGCACTTGGGCCATCTTCCACTGCTTTCCCAGGCCACAGCAGAGAGCTGGATCGGAAGTGGTGCAGGACTCAACCAGCGCCCATATGGGATACTGGCACTGCAGGCAGCGGCTTTACCCACTGTGCCACTGCGCCAGCCCCCAGCTCTACTTCTGGTCCAGCTTCCTGCTGGTGTGCACCCTGGAGAGCACCAGGTAATGGCCACTCGCATGGGAGACCCCTATTGAGATCCAAGCTCCTGGTTTTGTTCTGGCCCAGCCCACGCTGTTGCTGGCATCTGAGGAGTGAACCCTTGGGTGGGCGATCCCTCTCTGTGTTTCCTTCTCTGTGTCAGGGGCCCTGGAGTGTGCCATTCCAGCACTATGTAACCGGCATCTCCTGAGAGCCCGCTCTGTGCCTGTTGCTGTCCTCAGACGGCTGACCATGCCATGTGGGTGGCACAGCCCAGGGTGGGCAAGGCAACCTGCAACCTCCTCCCACAGGAGGAGCCCCACCTTGTCAGTGCGATCAGAGAGGGCTTCCTGGAGGGGACATTGCAACTTTGCCGTGAAAAGCTGGTAGGCGCTAATAAGGCAGCAGGATGTAAGAGGGCTGGGTGTGGAAGGCTCAAAGGGCATTTTGTGGACTAAGGGAGAGTGAGAGGGTGGCGGGGTGGGGGTGGGGGGCGCGGGTGACAGCCCCAGGAGCTGAGGCACGTTTTATGTTTAAAGGATCTTTTTGGGGCTGGCATTTAACCTAGCAGCTAAGACGCCGGCATTCCATACAGCGCCGGGGCTTGATACCAGCTCCAGTTCCCGGCTCCGGCTTCCTGCTAAGGCGCACTCTGGGAGGCTAGCAGGAGAGGCCCAGACTGCGTTCCCAGCCTTCTGTCCAGCCTAGGCAAGGCCCAGTCTGAGCCATTTTGTGGGCACTGGGGAGTGAAGGATGAGAGCACTCTGTGTGGTATCTTTGCTCAATAGTAAAGTTTTTTTTTTTTTTTTTTTTTTGGACAGGCAGAGTTAGTGAGAGAGAGAGAGAGAGAAAGGTCTTCCTTCCATTGGTTCACCCCCCAAATGGCCACTATGGCTAGTGCGCCGATCCGAAGGCAAGAGCCAGGTGCTTCTCCTGATCTCCCATGGGGTGCATGGCCCAAGCACTTGGGCCATCCTCCACTGCCCTCCCGGGCCACAGCAGAGCAACCGGGACAGAATCCGGCGCCCCAACCGGGACTAGAACCCTGGGTGCTGGCGCCGCAGACGGAGGATTAGCCAAGTGAGCCATGGCGCCGGCTGGTAGTAAAGACATTTAAAAAGGAGGGGGGGGGGAGGGGGGAGGGGAGAGCGCCTCCTGGCTGCCATGTGGGTGATGGAGGGTAAGGCAGGCAGCTGTCCTTTCAACTCTTTGGCTCCCAGTCCCCGGTGCTGGCATCATCTTTGTTTTCTTTCTTTTCAAAAAATATTTATTTTATTTGAAAGGCAGAGCAACAGAGAAGAGAAAGAGAAAGAGATCTTTCCTCTGCTGGTTCACTCCTCAAATGGCCCAACAGCCCAGGCTGGGCCAGCCAGAGGAGCCAGTAGCCCAGAACTCCCTCTGGGTCTCCCACGGGGGTGGCAGCACTTGGACCACTCTCGCTGTTTCCCCCGGCACAGGAGCCGGGCGCTGGATCAGACATGGAGTAGCTGAGACTTGAACTGGCACTCTTACATAGGATGCTCACATCCCAGGCGGTGGCTTAACCTGCCCTGCCCCGGTGCCAGCCCCCTTGCCAGCCTTTCTTATCTGGACTAGCTCGGCAGCCGTTTCTCTGGTGCCTCCGTGGTCTGCGCCCACATGCAGCCAGAGGTACCCTGTGGAACCCGAGTCAGGTCATCATCCAGTATGGTTCCCATCCTGGGACAGAAGCCGGAACCCCACCCAGCATCACAGGCCCTGCACCACCCGCCTGTCACCTCCTCTCTCATCCAGCAACACCGGCCCCACCAGGCCCACTCCCGTCTCGGGGCCCTTACACTCACTGTGGCCTCGGGCTGTGGTCTTTCCTCCCTCATGGCCCACCTGGGCCGCTCCCTGCCCCCGCCAGCACTTGCACGGTCACCCTCTCCGTGAGGCCTCCTCCATCTCCTCCTCTCCAAACTGCCCCTCACCCCCACCCTGCCCAGCTCTGTTTCCCTGCAGAGCGGTTATCACCATCTGACATACCCTGCAATTTGCTTATTTACTGTGTTCCTCGTCTAGGATGTCAGCTTCACGAGGAGGAATTCTTGTCTGCTGTGCTCAGCTTCTAGAACTGGGCCCACACAGAGGAGGGGCTCCGAGTGGGGGGAAGAGGACAAGGGGCTGGGTCTCCAAGGGCCCGGACTGTCAGCCCGAGGAGGCGAGCGGTACTCGGAGGACACTGGCAGCCTATGGGATGGGAGAAATATGCTGCCAGGTGGCTCTGAGCTGCCCGTGGGCATTGCGGCACAGAGGGGATTGCGACTGCTTGGGACGCCCACAGCCCCTGTCGGAGTGCTTGGCTCCTGTGTGAGCTTCTCTGTGCCTCTCAGCTCCCTGCTAGTGTGTCTGGGAGGCAGTGGGCGGCATCCCAAGTGCTCAGCTTCCTGTCACCCAAAAAGGACACTCAGCCCTGGCTGTTGTGGCCATTTGGGGAGTGAGTCAGCTGACAGAGGAGTTTTCTGTCTCCCCTGGCTCTGTCACTCTGCCTTTCAAGTGTGTGTGTGTGTGTGTGTGTCCCTAAGAAAGCAAAAAGAGGCTCTGAACCCAGTGAGGGTGTGGGGGCCGTGGGGAGGGAAGGCAGCTGATGTCCAGGACACGGCCCTAGGTGCTCACCTAGAACTGGAGGAGTAGTGGGCTGCCCCGCCACGGGGCACGTAGGAGGCAGCCACACAGAGGGAAGCCAGCCCGTGTCGGATCTGGAACGTTGAGGAGGTTGGACTTTATACCGTGGGCACCCCGGAACAGTGGAAGGGTTTTGAGCAGAGAAGTAAGAGATGTAGAAAGACCCCTTTAACTGCTGCATGGACATGGATCAGAGATGGGGTTCAGAGAGGGGGCTGAGGCAGAACCCCAGGGAGCAAAGTGTCTGGCCTACGGTCTCCAGTGGGTGTCCGGGAGGGGCGATCTAGAAGCAGGAGTCTGGGCCCAACGCACCTTCCTTTCCCCTCCCCCTTTCCTCCAGGTTGGCCCCGGCTCCATCTCCAGGTGTGGTCCCAGGATGGCTTTGGCCGCTGCCAGCTTGAAGGCTATGGCTTTTGCCATGTGCCCAGCAGCCCCGGGACCCACCAGCTGCAGTGCCCCACGTGGCGGCCCCTGGGCAGCTGGCGGGAGCAGCTGGCGCGGGTCTTTGTGGGCGGTGGGCCGCAGCTGCTGCACGGGGACACCATCTACAGCGGGGCTGACCGCTACCGCCTGCACACAGCCGCGGGTGGCACTGTGCACCTGGAGCTTGGCCTGCTGCTGCGCCACTTCGACCGCTACGGTGTTGAGTGCTGAGCCTCTGCCCGAGCTGTCACCGGCATCCACACCCCTGCGCGGCCAGTGAGGGTCAGGATGGCGCGGAGGTCAGCATCGGGGGCCCCAGAGACTTGTCTGCAGCCAAGGCATGGGACGACTTCGGTCCTTGCCAGGACCTCCAGGCCTGTAACTGCCCCTTGCTGCCCAGTTTCTGTCTCTGTAAAATGGGGCAGGAAGGATGCCAGCACCCGGGGGTTGGGTGAGAAGGGGCTACTTAGCACCCGGGCAGGGTTCAATAAAGGTGGGTGCAACTTATAGGTACCAGTGCTTTCGTGACCCCCTTCTTGTGCCCCCCTCACCTGCTGCCCTCTTTCCTCGGGCCCCCATCCTGTGCCCTAGCCCCTCACCCTTCCAGTTCTGAGACACCCCTCGCCCTAGTCCCCCCCTCCCAGTGTCCCCTCCCTGCCAGGTCTCTCACCGCGCATGGCCCCACTGCGATGGTGCATCTCAGGCACCGCTTTGGTAGCACTCAGCCGCCAGGAGGCAGCACCCCTTTCCCGTTCGCGGGGCGGAGCCGGGTGCCCGCCCCCCCAGGGCAGAAGGGACCCCCCTCGGAGCCCGCCCACTCGAGATCAGGACGGTGGCCCGCCCGTCCGCTCGCCCGCCCTGCCCCCTGGAGGCTTCCCCCGCCCCACGCGCTTCCTGGGTGGGGCCGGGGCGGCTTCAAAACCCCCCGCCGCCCTGGCCGGTCCCCGCCGACGCCGCCCTTCGCGCCCCGGTCCGTCCCCCTCCCTCCTCCCGCCGCGGATCCGCCAGACAGCGAGGCCCCCGACCGGGGGCAGGGGGGACGCCCCCTCCGGGGCACCCCCCCGGCTCGGAGCTGCCCGCGGGCAGAGCCTGGGCCCCGAGCGCAGCTGAGCGGAGGAAGGAGCCGCCGAGGAGCAGCCCGAGGCCACAGTCTGAGAAGAGCCGCCCCCGCCGCCGCCGCCGCCGCCGCCGCCACTGCGGGGAGGAGGGGGAGGAGGAGCGGGAGGAGGGACGAGCTGGTTGGGAGAAGAGGAAAAAAGTTTTGAGACTTTTCCGCTGCGGCTGGGAGCCGGAGGCTCGGGGACCGCTTGGCGCGGCGCTGGCCCAGGGGGAGGCAGGACTTGGGGACCCCAGGCCGCCCCTTTCCTCACCGCCTCGGACGCTTGCTCCCTCGCTGCCTCCTACACAGCGACCCCCGTTCCGGACCAGCCCTCCGAGCCTCGGACCCTTTCTCCCGCGAAGGCTTTGCCCCAGCCTCAGGCTCACCTTCTGCCCGTCTCCTGAACCCCGAGCATCCTAGGACCTTCCCTCCTCTGGGGACGGGTCTCAGCCCTGCTCCAGCTCCCCTACTCAAGACCACCCACCTTCTGGTAGTAGAACTCGCCTGTCTCCGTTTCTTTCGTGGGATACCGAGACACCCTGGCCACAGCCTCCCCTCCACCCCTGCTTCTGTCTTCCTGAGGGCCTCAACTTTTGCCTGAGACCCTCCTCCCTTACCCCGGGAGACCCTCAGCCCCTTCAGGGGCGGGGCCTCCCCATCCCACCCCAGCCCTGTTCGCGCTCTCGGCAGTGCCGGGGTGCGCCGCCTCCCCCATGCCGCCCTCCGGGCTACGGCTGCTTCTGCCGCTGCTGCTGCTGCCGCTGCTGTGGCTCCTAGTGTTGACGCCCGGCCGGCCGGCCGCGGGACTGTCCACCTGCAAGACCATCGACATGGAGCTGGTGAAGCGGAAGCGCATCGAGGCCATCCGCGGCCAGATCCTGTCCAAACTGCGGCTCGCCAGTCCCCCGAGCCAGGGGGAGGTGCCGCCCGGTCCGCTTCCCGAGGCCGTGCTCGCCCTGTACAACAGCACCCGCGACCGGGTGGCCGGGGAGAGCGCCGAGCCGGAGCCGGAGCCCGAGGCCGACTACTACGCCAAGGAGGTCACCCGCGTGCTAATGGTGGACAGCAACAACAGTGAGCTCCGAGGGACGGGGACCCGGGAGGGGGCCCCCAGGGGGCGCCGGAGCGCAGGGGTCAGGGAGGAAATTACCCGCGGAGGACACAGCGGGAGGAAGGGGACCCCTGGGTGCACAGGGAACGTGGGGGAGGGCGTGTCCTAAAGACCAGGGCGCTGAGCTCCCCGACCCTCAGGGACTGGTCCTGGAACAGTGCGCCAAGTGCACGGGACCCGCGGGGTCGAGGGAGGTCCCGGGGGACACAGGCAATGGGGTAGAAGCCGTTCCCTCCGCAGGGCCCGTGGAATGCGGGGGTCGCGTGGTGGGAGCTGCAGAGAGGGGTGCTCTGCGGGGAGAGACTGAGCCCCTGTCTGTGGGAAAGGGAGCCAATGAGAAAGCTGGGCAGAATTGGGGGTCACGAAACAGAAAGACGGAAGGAGCAAAAGCGAACAGCAGCAAAGTGCCAGGAGCGTGGACCTGCTTCCAGGGCGCACAGGACACGCGGGACTGCAGGGATCGTGGCAAAGAGGCGGTGGTCTGCGTGATGGGTGCGGGCATGGGACGCGAGGCCGGCGGTGGGAGGAGGAGGCTGACGGGAGAGGAGCGGAGACCCGGAGCGCGAGCCCAGGGTGTGTGCAGAGGGTCGCGCGTGCTTGCAGCCGGAGTGAAGGCACAGAGCAGGGAATCCCAGGAACCAGGACTCCTGGGTCGGGGAAGGGGCTTCCGGAGAGGGGAGGGGCGTGGGAAAGGTGTGTTGGGATGGGGCAGAGGGGAGGTGGCGGTGCTCTGGGCGCTGAGCCGCGAAACCCGCTCGCTGTGGGATGGGACGGGCCGGACGAGGAGTGGAGCGGTTGGGGGGAGGTCTGGGCGGGGGCGCCCGTGCGAGGCCCAGGTGAAAAAAGTGAGCAGGTGGGGGTGAGGCTGCCCCACATGGGTGCCACGCGCGGCGGGGAGGAGCTCGCTTTTCCCGAAGAGGAAGGAGGACCCCGCAGGGCTGAAGGCCGGCACTGCGGACCCCGGAGTTGCAGTTCCTCCGGGGAGGCTGGGGAAACCCCAGCGTCCGGCCGCCACCCCTCCTCCCTTCCCTTTCCTTCCCGTGGCCCGGGGGCGGGGATCGCGCGCGGAGCCTGGGGCGAGACGAGGCAGGTCTGTCTCCGCCCTCGCGACAGCGGCGCGTCCCGCCCCTCTCCCCCCAGCTGTGGGAGGGGTGCCTGTGGGCCCGCCCCGTCGGCGCCCACGCGGGGACCCAGGCTGCCTCGTGGCCTGGGGACTTGGGGTGAATCCCCAGGTTTCACTTTATGTCCTGTGCGGTGGGCTTGGGGGTCCCTGGCTCGCGCCCGCGCCTGATGTGCAGCTGTAGTCCAAAGGCGCCCCTTCCCCACCCACTGGTCCATCTGGCCTCGCTTCCGCTTTCTCCTTCGCCCGCGGTGTGAATTAGTTCACTGAGTTTCTCCTGAGGAGGCCACGTCCTCTTCCCTAAACTCGCGTGTCTCCGCGGGTGTGTCCATCGTGGCCCTCCTATTCCTGTGTGAGCCTTCTTCCCCTGTCCGTCTCTCTCCCTCAGCCCCCTCCCGGCACCCTCCAGCCCTGCCTGGACTTCTCACTTCCTATCCCTCACCCCAGCCTCGCTCTGCCCTTCTCCTGGGGTTTGCTGAGTAACAGCTGGCCAAGAGCAGGCTTATTTGGGGGTGGAGGGGGGAGCAAGGGAAGTGGCTCCCTCTGTTTCACAAAATCACTCTAGGGGTCCCAGAGCAGGTGACCCACTGCATGGCCTGCCCCTTCACCTCCAATCCCAAATGATACCCAGACTAGGAATGCTCTTAGTGCCTTCTGCCCCTGTAGCCACTCAGACATAGAATGAACCTCACCTCTCACCAGGTAGGGGAGGAGGCAGTTCACAAGTTCACAAAACCACCAACAGCCTCCCCTTAGCAGGGAGGCCACACAGCTGAGGGGTTAAGGCGCTGCCCTCTCTGGGACCAGGCTGGCTGTTTGAACCCCACTCTGCAACTTCCTAGCTGTGTGACCTTGGGGCACATGGATCTCTGTGTGCCTGTTTCTCCATCTGTTAAATGGATAGAATTATGGTGCCTTCCTCAGGAGCTTGTTGTGAGGTGTAGATGTCTTTTTTGTAAAGTACTTTGAACAGCCTCTGGCCTACAGTACATTTTTTTTTTTTTAAAGATTTATTTATTTGAAAGAGGAGAGAGAGAGAGAGAAAGAAATCTTCCATCTGCTAATTCACTCTCCAAATGGCCACAAGGGCTAGAGCTGGGACAGTTTCCCGCCAGGAGACTCGCATGTGGGTGCAGGGACCCAAGGACTTGAGTCACCTGCTACTGTTTTCCCAGGCTCCTCAGCAGGGAGCAAGATCTGAAGTGAAGCAGCGGGGACTTGAACCAGTGTGAGTGTCTTTACCCACTGTGCCACAATGCTGGCCCCAAAACAAGGCTCAGCAGGCTGGTGACTGAGTGGCAGGTGTAGCCCGTGTGCCCGCCCTCCCCAATCCTGATTGGCTGTGCGCCCGCTCTGTCAGGGCTTCCTCTGGGTGGTCTCTGTCTCCCACCTGGTCCTGCAGTAGTTTCTGCTCTTACAGATGAGGATCTGGCTCAGCGGGAGGACTCCTCCCCTCCAGGGTTCCCCAGGGCCGCAGTCAGGAGCCCCTGAGTGGAAGGCACAGAGCTGGACACTGCTGTTGAGGTTCAGAGGGACAGAGCCTCAGGGTCAGGGGGGAGTGAGTGCCCCAGGTCACACAGCACAGAGGCAGCAGGGGCTCTTCCTGACCCCAGGCTCTCCCCATGACCCTTCCTCTTGCAGTGCAATCCGCATCTGAGCTGGGTGCCTGGGACAAGGGAGCCACACGGCCACTCCCTGGGGGGGCAGATGGAGGCCTCAGGTAGACAGAGTGGTCAGGACCCATGGTGCATGGCAGGAAGCCCACCCAAAGGGACCCTGGGCCCCAAGGTCACACAGCTGACAAGTGTCAGAGTCCAACTCCAACCCGGGCTGCAGCTCTGGGCCCTGGCCTTCAGACTGGGGGTGCCCCTGCTCCTTCTACCCCTGCCAAAGCCCTGACTTCTGTCTGCTCTTCCCAACTAGAAATCTACAAAAAATACAAAGAAAGCCGGCATAGCGTCTATATGCTGTTTAACACGTCAGAGCTCCGGGAAGCAGTGCCCGAGCCCGTGTTGCTGTCCAGGGCAGAGCTGCGCCTGCAGAGGCTCAAGTTACAGCAGGAGCAGCACGTGGAGCTGTACCAGGTGAGGAGGGAGCCTGAGCTGTGGCCAGGTGGGGTGGAAGGCTGCTGGCCGCAGGTCCTCATAGACGGCCCTGGGAGGGGGAAGAGCACAGACCGGGGACTCCTGGGCCTCTGTTGAACTTCGCACTCTGCCAGGGTTTTCAAATGCTTGGAAGGCTGGGGTCTTAGGAGCTGGGTCCTGAAGAAGTGAGGACTCTTGGAAGTTGGAATCTCTGGACAGGATGAGGCTCCAGAAGTGTTCTGTCCAGTACGGTGGCTGCCAGTCACATTTAACTTGATTAAAATTGAAACTGATTAACATTAAATATTTCCAGTACTTATAGTAATGTGGGTAGTAGCTGCTACTTTGTCATTTTCTTTTTTTTTTAAAGATTTATTTATTTATTTGAAATTCAGAGTTATACATAGAGAGAAAGAGTGGCAGAGAGAGAGAGAGAGAGAGAGAGAGAGAGAGAGAATCTTCTATCTGCTAGTTCACTCCCCAGTTGACTACAACGGCCGGAACTGTGCCAATCAGGAATCAGGAGCTTCTTCTGGGTCTCCCAGAAGGAGAAGGGTGAAGGGGCCCAAGCACTTGGGCCATCTTCCACTGCTTTCCCAGGCCATAGCAGAGAGCTGGATCGGAAGTGCTGCAGCTGGGACTCAAACCGGCACCCATACGGGATGCTGGCACCACAGGCGGAGGCTTTACCTGCTACGCCACAGTGCCAGCCTCTGTCATTCATTTTCTTTGAGGGTTTTCTTTTTAAGATTAACTATATGAAAGGCAGAGTTACAGAAAGTGTGAGAGATATAGATAGTCAGGATAGAGAGATCTTCCATCTGCTAGTTCCTGCCCCACATGGCCAAAACGACTAGGCTGGGTCAGGTCCAAGCCAGGAGCGTGGAACTCCATCCGTTTCCTATGTGGGAGGCAGGGTCCAGATACTTGGGCCATCTTCTGATGCTTTCCCAGGCACATCAGCAGGGTGCTAGATCAGAAGTGGAGCAGCCAGGGTTTGAACAAGTCTCGGGATACTGGCATTACAGGCTGTAGCTTAACCCACTGCACCACAACTCCAGCCTGAATTCCTCTTTTTATTTTTTATTTATGTATTTGAGAGACAGACAGGTTGAGTTCCCACCTGCTGGTTCACTCCCCAAATGCCTACCATGGCCAGGGCTGTGCCAGGACAAAGCAGGCAGCTGAAAACTCAGTCCAGGTCTCCCACGTGGGAGGCAGGGGCCCAGGTACTTGAGCCACCACCCTCCACCTCCCCGGGTCAGCATGAGCAGGAAGCTGGAGTCAGGACATAGAGCTAGGTATCCAACCCAGGCACCCCGCTATGGGAAAGCAGGCCCCTTAACCTCCAGAAGCTAAGTAACTGCCCCAGCAGCTGCTGTCTGCACAACAATTGTGAACATTCCGAGGTCTTTGCACGGCACCGCTCTACACGGCGGAGTCTCCAGGCAGTTATCTGCCCTTCTGGAAGGGCTGCAGTTCCTAGATCACTGTCCCAGAGTCTTTGCCATCTGCAGTGTTACACTCGCAGGACCATGGGTGTTAGAGCCTTACAGTGAGACTTGGCCTTGTGTTTGCTTCTTGGAGTCTGAAGACTTCAGCTTCTTGCTATGGCCCCTGGAGGGTGCTGTCTGACACAGGAGGTTGTTTCTTTCCTTGCCATAGGTCACACACCTGGTTTTCTTATTTTAAACTGTTATATTAAAAAAAAAATTGATTCACTGGGGCTGGTGTCATGGTACAGAACTTAAAACCAATGCCTGTGACGCTGGCATCCCACATGGGCACTGATCCAGTCCTGAAGGGTCCACTTCCCATCCAGCTCCTTCCTGGTGTACTTGGAACAACACTGGAGGATGGCCCGAATACCTGGGAGAGTGGGAGGAGGCTCCTGGATTCAGACTGTCCCAGCTCTGGCGGTTGCAACCATTTCAGGAGTGAACCAGCAGATGGAGGATATCGCTGTATGTCTCTCTTGCTCTATGTAACTCTACCTTTTAAATAAACTAATTAAAAAAAAAAAAAGCAGAATGATAGATTCATTGAACTGGTTTCCTCCTAAAATGGCCACAATGGCCACGGCTAGGCCAGACAGAATACAGGAGCCTGGAATTACATCCAGGTCTCCCATGTGAGTGGCAGGGGCCCAACTAGGACCATCCTCTGCGGCCTTTCTAGGTGTAATAGCAGGGAGCTGGATCAGAAGTGGAGCAGCCTGGACTCAAAATGATGCTCCTATGGGATGCCAGAATCCCAGGTTGTGGCATAGCACATGGTGCCAACATGCCAGCCCCAGACTCCTGGATTTGTAGACTTGAGTCTCCTGGGACTGCTCAGGCCCATGGCTGGCCTTCCTGGGCTTTATCAAACACTGGAGCACAGAATGACACCTGACTAAGCCTTCAGCTCAGAACCAGGCTGTCACATCTGCCGACTGAATGCTCAGCACAGCCAGGTGCTGGCACCACAGGCTTGGTCTTGTGGGCTGTGCAGGTGGGGAGGGGCCAGCCTCTGGTCAGACCTCAGGCCTCCAAGGGGAATAGCACCCCTCCCCCAACCCCTCAGGGAATCACAGTGGGACAGGCAGCCTCTAGGAGCCTTGGCCACTCCTCTCCAGGGTGCTGTTAGAGGTGGAGCCCACATGCCCCAGTGGGTGTCTAAGGGGCCAGGTCTGGAAGCCACCTGGGGAGCAGGGGTGGCGGTGTGGTGCTTGTGTGGGAGGCGCTGGCAGCATCTCCAGCTTCTCTCTCCCGCGTGCTTTGTCCTCCAGAAATACAGCAACGATTCCTGGCGCTACCTCAGCAACCGGCTGCTGGCCCCAAGCAACACAGCAGAGTGGTTGTCCTTCGATGTCACTGGAGTTGTGCGACAGTGGCTGAGCCACGGAGGTGAAGATGGCGGGTCTGCCCCACCCCTGCTTCTCCTGGGTTCTGCCCCCACCCCTGTTGGTGTCAGAGGCACTCAGAGCGGGGAGATGAGTGAGGGATCTGTTCGTGGTTCATCCATTTCCTGAGCACCTGCTTTCTGCCCTGCCCTGTGACAGCTGATGCAGGGACAGACACAGCCTGACCAGGACAGCCCAGTCCTGGCCTGCACTGAGCTCATCATCATCTGGGTGGGTGGGTGGTGGGTGGGGGTGGTTAGCTGTGCAGTGATGACCCAGAGTGGCCATGCTGGGATGAGGAGCCCAAAGGGAGTGCCTGGCCCAGCCTAGGTTCGGGGAGGGCTTCCTGGAGGAGGACGTTTCTGAGCTGATGTTGGAGGGCTGAGTAAAATCTGGAAGGAAGCAGTGAGGGGCCGCGTGTTCTGGGCAGGGAGCAGCCTGTGCAAAGGCCCTGAGAGCAGGCAGAGCCGGGCACAGTGCATCTGCCCAGGAAAGGACTGGGCCACTCCTCTCCCTCGCTGAGTCCACAGTGCCCAGGGGTCCCTCCTAGTCATGCACGCATCCCAGGACTCCCCTCAGGCTCCTGTCCTGGGCCCCGCCCTGTGTGGGTGGCGAGTCTCCACGTGGCTGGCAGGGCCCAGCACTGGAGCCATCGTCTGCTGCCTTCCCAGGCACATCAGCAGGGAGGGGGGTCGGAAGTGGAGCAGCCCAGTGATCAGCATCACGGCAGAGCTTGTCAAGCTGCCACCCATGACCTCCCTCACATGCGGGCCTCTCCAATTCCCATCTGCCCCCTTCCCAGGGAAATCATCTACCGGGCCTGGGAGAGCAGTGCAGCTGCTCCCACACTGCGTGCTCCAATGCCCTTCCTGGCTGTGGCCTGGACTAGTCCTGGGGGCTGAGCAATGAACCAGCAGGTTGAACATCCCCCTTTATGTCTCCCTGTTTTTGTGTAGTTCTGCCTTTCAAATACACACATACTTAGAAGAAGAACAAACAGCAGCAGCGGTTAATGAGGCAGGACAGGAACTGCTGCTGTGGGGTCAAGGGCTGCAGTCGGGGCTTCACCTGCTGCACCACAACACCTGCTCCCAGATATTGTCAAGACTGTGGCGAGGCTCAGAGAGGAACCAGAAAAATAGGGGTTTCTACTGGGTGCACACTGCTTTCTACTGAGAACACTGAGAGGAATAAACAGCCAAACACCAGTGTCAGAGGTCACATGCGATGGAGAAAACAAGGCGATGTCAGGGTCCGGGAGGGTGTGCATCATGGAGAGCCTCTCTGAGGAGGTGACATGTGAGCTGACCTGAAGGGGACGCTGCAGGCAAGGCAAAGCACTGAGCACCATGGTGGGAGGGGGAGGGGAGGGCTGTCCCAGGCAAGAGGAGCCCCTGGAGTTTGCTCCTTCCTTCCCCTTCCTCCAGGGTCTGGCTGGGCCTCCCACTCAGACTGCCTTCCCTCTCTCCACTCCCACAGAGGAAATAGAGGGCTTCCGCCTCAGCACCCAGAGGTCCAGTGACAGCACAGATGATGTCCTCCAAGTGGACATCAACGGTGAGTCCACGGCCCTGGCCCGGCCCAGCCCAGCTTGTCATCTGCGTGTGTGACTGCGTGTGCTTGTGTGTCTGTGTCCCCTCCAACCCCACAAACTACTCTATGGCACTGATCCATCCGCCTGAGAGTCTTCAACCACACAGGGATCAGTTCTGGCCGCCAAGGGGACGATGCCAACACTGAGAGAATGACCCGGCCCTTCTTGCTCCTCTGGGCCACCCCCCTGGAACGGGAGCAGCTGCTACACAGCGCCCAGCTCGGCTGAGCCTGGACACCAACTACTGCTTCAGGTGAACATGGCGGTCTCTGACTGTGGCCCTCCGGGCTGTGCCCCTGGCTGAGCCACACTCAGCTGGGCTTCTCTTTAGCCTGAGGGTCGGGACCTGGCAGCTGGGTTGGGACCTGGGAGGCCTAGAACGTGGGGCCCGGGCCCCTTCCTGGTGCAGTGCAGCAGTTGGAGGCTGTCAGGATGTGGGCACGGGAACTGGAATTGGGTGTGGCAAGGCTGCCTTGCTGGGGGCTTCTGAGTGTCTGGGGCTGGAGTTCTAGAATGCTGGGTGAGCGTCTGTGACTGGGAGCAAGGCCGCTGGAGTCGAGGAGGCTGCCTGCTGGGAGCCTAGAGGGAGGAGACTGTGCGTTTTGGGTTCCCACACCCCGGGCAGATCGGAGCCCCCAGTGCTGGCCCTGGCGTTGGGACATTAGGCTCCCAGGGCTGGGACCTGGGCTGAAATGGGAGCCCTGGCTGGGTGTGGAGGAAGTGGGGATGCTGACTGCCCAGGGCAGGATGCGGGCTCAGTCAGGGAGTGCGGGGCCTGGCAGGCGGCAGGCTGGGCCTCGTGTGCTGGCTGCGCGTGGCGGGAGGCTGCATGGGAGGGTGGAACGTGGGGTCCTGGAAGGCCTGGCGCCTGGCGAGCTGGGACGCGGGAAGGGCGTCTTGGAGCTGGAGCGCGGGGACCTCACAGCCCAGTCACCTGGGGCCCAGGTCCCTGGAGTTCACTTAGAATGTGAGGGCCAAGCGGGGAGTCGCAGCCCACCCCTCCCCCAGGAGAATCTGTGGTGCTGTCCGGGCTTTCTTTCATGGCGTCCCCGGCTGGACCTCGCCCCTTCTCCAGGGCTCTTCCAGCACCAGATCTCACACCTGGGCTAGGACCCCCAGGGAGTGAGGGGCTGCGGTCCTGAGCACCCTGGACTCTGGGAGGCAAAACAGGAGCTCAGCTGCGAGGGCGCTGCCCGGAGTCAGACCTGGCCCTGCTCAGGGCTCTGGGCCACGGGGACGCAGGCTGCGGAATCCAGACCTGGGAGCCCGATCCAGGGGATACCCCCCCACACACACGTACCAGGGAATCCAGAAAGTTAATTTGGAATTGGCATTAAAAACCTGTAATTATTTTGGTGCAAAAAGATTTCATATCTAATCACAGTTTTTATAATATACATTTTCCCTGTATTATGAAAAAAGTTTGTATCAAAAATTACTTTGCCCCTAAATGAGTATATATAAATAAATACTCTCAAGCTGGCATTGGGGTGTTGCAGGTAAAGCTGCCGCCTGCAATGCCTGCATCCCATATGGGTGCCTATTCAGTCCCAGCTGCTCCAGTTCCTGTGCAGCTCCCTGCTGAGTGTCTGGGAAAGCAGGGAAAGAGGCCTAAGTGTTTGGTCCCCAGCACCCACATGGCAATCCTGGTTGAAGCTCCTGTCTCTGGCCTGGCCCAGCCCTAGGCACTGTGGCCATTTGGGGAGTGACCAACCAGATGGAAGATCTCTTTCTCTGTCCTTCTCTGTCTCTGTAACTGCCTTCAAATAAAATAAAATAAACCTTTAAAATAAATGTAGTCATATGTAAGACATTATAACTATACAGAAATATTAATATTTGCATGTTGGCAATTTATATAAATATATAGAAAGATATATCCACTTACATTCCTAAGTGGATATTATATATTATATATATATAATACATAATTATAAAATATACTATAAGTATATAGACATTTTACATAATAGATATATAACATATTGTGGCGCCGGCACCCCGGGTTCTAGTCCAGGTTGGGGCGCCGGATTCTGTCCCGGTTGCCCCTCTTCTAGGCCAGCTCTCTGCTGTGGCCAGGGAGTGCAGTGGAGGATGGCCCAAGTGCTTGGGCCCTGCACCCACATCGGAGACCAGGAGAAGCACCTGCCTCCTGGCTTCAGATCAGTGCAGTGCGCCGGCTGCGGCGGCCATTGGAGGGTGAACCAACGGCAAAGGAAGACCTTTCTGTCTCTCTCTCTCACTGTCCACTCTGCCTGTCCAAAAAAAAAAAAAAAAGATATATAACATAGATCATATGTATATATATGCATGTTATATAACAAATATATAGTCATGTTACATAACAATATACATATGCATGTTATATAACAAATATTAAATATAATACACATTATATAAACATGATTATGTATTCATAGATGCATATAATAGATGTAAATATATTATATGCCTAAATACATACACAGACATTACCTACAAAATGGACATTATATACACATATCTGCTTTATATAAATAGACATATACATCTACACAAACTGCATACAGACAATACCGATGAGTGGGTGTCTCACACGGAGAAGCGGCGGCTCCGGGAACTCTAGGAGGAGCCCAGGAGAGGCACCGCCCCTCTCAAGGCCTAGCCCGCGGCCGGCTCTTTCTCCGTCCAAACGTCCCAGCAGAGGACGGAGGAGCCCGCCGGGGACGCCTGGACGCCGACGGGACCCCGCAGAGCCCCTCTCGCGGCTCGGCCGGGCTCCGCAGCCCCCGCTCCCCCAGCCCAGCCCAGCCCAGCCCGCGCGGGCGCCCCGGGCTCTGGAACCTTCCGCGGGGCAGGAAGTGGGCGGGCACAGGGTCACGTGGGCGGCGGCGCCTGCGCAGAGCGCCCGCACCCCAGCGTCGCCAAGCAAAGCTCTGGGAGGCCTGCGGGGAGCTCCAGGCCTCCCGGATGTCGGAGGTTGGCTTGGGCCAGACTGGGAGCGTCTGTGCCAGCGTCCGCACCCGAAAGCCGGCGTTCATCTCAGAGCTGCTGTCGGCCTGTGTGTCGTGAGCCTGCGTGGGCTGAGGTTTTCACGCTCGCTCAGCTTCCCACGGGCTCCGCGGGTCTGCTGACCCTGTCTCCGACGCCCGAGGGCCCCGGGAGGCCTCTGCGCGTGCCCTGGGGCTGCCAGACTGAGGGAAGAGGCCTTGCAAGCAAGGACGAAGTGGAGTGACTCAGGGGCCCTGGAGGCCACAGGCCTGTCCACGTCCTGGACGGGTGCCGGGAGCACTTCCGGGTCAGCTGGGGCGGGGTCACGGCGGCCGCTGCTGAGGGTCTCCCGCCGGCTGTCCGCGCCTGGCTGCTGCTGCCCAGGGACCCTGTGAAGGACCCCGGTCGTGGAGAGGGGTCACGGACGGTCCAGGGCTCAG